TATTAATCTACAAAATGTATTACATTTTTATTACAAACACTCTTCTAAGCAACTTAATAAGCATAACTCTAAATGACATCCAATGTCCTACTTCTACATATTGAATTATAACTCTACTTAGTAAAATCTATATAGGCTTAAACTTCTAGGCATTGTCTTCATGAATCATTTTCTAATATTAAAATAATATACTTACTAATTATTAGAAAAATTATCCATGTAGCCGTAATAATAGTCAGTGAAACGCAACCCTACAAAAGCTTAGATACAACCTATTACTGAATACTTATGGTTACATGAGATATTACAAAAATGTAGATATGACGCAACATCTAGTAGAGAATTATTCGTGAACAGAACGTTATGTAACTGTAATTTGTGTATTCATGCTCACACGTCATGTCATAACGTTTCATTTCGACAGCTTGAGATGATGACTTGTATACAATCTAATAATTAATGCTTTATTTATAGCAATACATGTATAATATTTAGAAGAATCTTAAACTTTTAAGTTACAGGACAAACAGATTTATATAAAAATATTTATCATATTCAAAATAGTAATAAGTTACACTAAATTATTCCATATTATGATTTGGTATAATGAAAATTACAAACAAAATGTAAAGTGGAATCATACTTATGTAAATATTATCACTGCTAATGATATTTTTAATATTTATTTTTAAATAAATCAAATTTTTGAATTAATAAATTTTCTAGTTTTACTCAGATAAATTTTAGGAAAAAATATTTTAAGGGTCCTCCTGGTATTATATTTCATATAATATTATTAGTAAATAATACAAATCGAAAATTTGTTGGTAACTCATAGATAGGTCTATAAATATGTAGTAGTCCGGAAAAGTGGTTTATGTATGAAATTTGACTCTATGTGAAAGTATATAAGTAAAGTTCGCAAAATACTACTTATTGCTTTTAGTATATGAACGTAATAATTATAAACGAAATTAATTTTTTTTTTATATATTATTTTTATAAGTTCGAAGTTCATCGCATAGTTTTTAAGTCATTTTTTATTTTGGCTGTTTAATCAACTTCGATTGTCATCAATTTTGATAAAAGGATTAATAAAGTAGGTATTGATGAAAGAAAAACTGCTTTTATTGTATATTAGCGACATGATATAATTGTAATACTTTTTTACAGTTGCAATTTTGTATTCCTTTTACTTATATTATTTCTCGTAAATTTCATACTAAAATCAAATGCAATCCTGAAATAATATGTTTGAAAATTGTTCTGCATAATACTGTTGGCACTTACTGTTTCCGCATTCCGCCCTGTATAATAGCATTTCATCAAATACTCCAATCGTTCATTTTAGGATAAGATCTTCGTTTAACATATAAAAATATTTACAATAACAAAATATCTATATCTCTATGTCTTATTTTTTGACAATTTCATATTTAAATTAATATTTACATATACATATGTTTAAAAACAAAGTTGAAATGCTTATTGAACTGAAGACCATATATTTCTGTAATTACTTGCCTAATTGCCTGCCTCGTTGGTCTAGTGGTTGTAGTAGTGCGACTGCTGATCATGAGGTCCTGGTTTCGAATCCCGGGTCGGGCCAAATAATTAATTATTGAGTTTTTCCGTCAAGAAATTCTCAGTAGTTGCCCGGAGTCAGGAAGTTGGCGATGTCTCACCCCCGTGCCTCGGAAAGCACGTAAAGCCGTTGGTCCTGCGCCTGATCTCTCTTCGGTCGTGTCGGTTTACCGTCGCATCGGATTATGAGAGTGAGGGAATAGAGAGTGCACCTGTGCTTGCGTATACACTTGGGCACTACAATCCTGTCCTGCTCCAATGGCTAGCCTCCATTGAGGCAGATAAATGATAATAATGATAAATGAGGCAAATAAATGACATTGTGTAATGACAAAAGCGTCAACTAGCGACACCTGGTGATCATTAGCCTTCTTTGTCCCTGGTTTAAGTATCCACCCTAGTGCGATTGTCCATTTATTTATTTATTTGTGTTCACACAACAACACAGAAACAATCATACAGTGATTTCGTACAAAGGTTCTCCTTATTCTATAATTCCTAGTCTAGGTGTCCACCCTCATGCAATTAATTTTTTAAAATGTCTCAGAGGGATTTTGGTGGGAGTTTTTGAGAAGATTTTGGCGCGGCGGTGAATTTCTGCTCTTATAACATTTGTTTAATTAATTATTTGATGTGGATTTTGGAAATTAAAAAAATAAAATCCTAATCATCAAAAACAACAACTAAAAACGACTCATCAACATATAGTGAACAAGTAAGTTGTGAAAGAAATTATTATAATAAACAACATCTTATAAATTACTAAGTACTAGCAAAACTACAACCGTACAAGTCGATTACCAAAGAACAATAACACCTCAACAATACAGTAGAAATCCTGTGTGTAAAATACTGGTAACTAAGATATCGTTTTTACATATACATAAATAACATTCAGACTCACCGTTTTAAAAAATAGCAATGAATATATTGGCAATGTTTATAATTAATTCACTTTGTGATTTCAAGTATTATGTTACAAGAGCGCTGTTAGCAACCTTGATAAACTATTTTTCAAAATATACATAAAAATAAAATATTTTTATGAGGCTATTTAAATAACAAATCAATTACGCAAGTAGAAGAACTATTAGAAAAACAATTTATATATTTTAGAACATTTCTTATTAAATTAGGTACATCAAATTATCTACGTAAATTAACTTTAAAATGTTCCATTTAATTCCTTTACAATAATAATATTTTTAACGCACAAAACTTGCTTGTGTTTATCTCAATCTCTCTAAGTACGGATATTCTACAATTAACTTAATGTGGTAAATCGAGACAAGCATATTTTGTTATTATACTAACAGGCAAGAACGTAATGATTATACGAATACGTAACGTTTATAATATTAGAAAATGTATGCAACTTAAATTCACTAAAAGGACAAATATTAGATTTAAATTCTAAAAGCGCTCGTAAAAGCGCTTATGGAAATTTCTAGCTGCAATTGTATAGACGTTAAGTTGCCGTCTTAATCTCTATCTCTATAGATTATTGCTTAGCATATAACGTCAATGTTGATTCACGTGTATGAACTCAATTGATTGGCGATATAGTTGAAATAACATTGCCGGACTCTGAAAGGTGTTGCATTACAGTAAAATTATCGCCGACATATTACTGAGCAATAGTTCTAAACAAAATTTCCAGCAAGATGCAATTATTATAAAGCCCGTATACGAGCCATTTAAGAACATCTAGAATATTACTCTATTGATAAATTACTGGCGTCTACATCACTAGCGTAGTAAAACAGTTTCAATTAAACTTAGCTGGCTAAGGATGAGGTTAATATCCTTATCCTGCCTCTCATAAACTTTTAAGAAAAGCTTAAATATAACGTCTTTTTATGATTGCTAGAATTTAACACTCAGGAATTGGTATCAAAAACCAATCAGTCACTTGTGTTAAAAGAGGTTGGACCCCATCTACACTGTCACTAACTGGAAACTCAACCTTGGATCCAGCCAAGACCAAGCCCTAATTTAGACTGTAGCCTGTAGACTGTTGCCTGGGACCGAAGTTTGGTTTTCTTCAAAGCTTCCCACAACCAGCGATAAATACGTTTAAATGTGTATCACACACACTTGTGCACAACACAACACAACACAACCGTGCGTTAATCTTGAGGAAGTTTGTTGAAGAAAAACCACTTAGGGTTTTGTAATTATTAATTAATTTGTAAAAAAATATGGTCACGGACGTTTTCTATTTTTTTTAGTTGAACATTTTAGCTACCGCGGTTGAAGCACCTTCATTAATTGAAGCGAATTATAGAAATAAGCGGTGACTTTATTACAAGGGATTTTAATTTTTTATCCGACTGCTCCGTTTAGAGGGTTTATGTTTTACGATTGTTTATGTGCATGTTTGTTTTTATGTGTGAACGTATGTAGTATGTAGGTGCGTATTTATTTATGTATGTAGTCCGTACGTACATTTGAATTTAGTTATATTTGTCTGCTTCTTTGACATGAGACGAATTTGACATTTGACATAATATGCAAGTATATTTGTATTTATGTGTGACCGTATGTATGTATGTATTTATTTATGTATGTAGTGCGTATGTACATTTCAATTTAATTATGTTCTTCTTCTTCTTTATTTTATGACTTCTCTTAATAAAATTCTGCCAATGTCAAGTCTGTTCTTTGACATGAGACGAATTTGACATTTGACATTGACGAATTCTTCAACTGTATGTCTTATCACTAGAGCTACAGACAACTATTATTATATGTAATGTGCGGTAAATAGTTTTATTCAGTTTATTCTTTTTCGTTTTGTTTAATAATTATTATGCGTGAGTATGAACGACTTTTAAAAGTAAGTGTGTTTTTTTAATTTTCAAATCTTGTTTCACGTAAGTACTTTTGAAACAGACTGTTGACAATTTATGGTTTGTCAATTATAGTAGGTAGGTACCAAATGTAATTTATTTAACCAAGATTAAACATAGAAAACATTAAATTCTATTAAAATACTTTTAAAGGTTTTAGCGCTTAGTATACAATAACAAATTGTGATAACAATGACAACATATACACGTTGAAGAGAGACAAGTTAGGATTCCAAACACTTAAAAACAAAATTAAAATTTTTGGAATGATACAGTATTTATGAAGAACCGAAAGTAGAACCGACTAAGATTTCAGGAATGCAGTTAATAAACAATGAAATAAAATATATAACTATACAGTATGTGTGCTTTAACTATTTTGTTTTATACTATAGTTTGAAAGAATTATTTTATCACTATTCTCCAGTGAGAAGAGTGCGTTTTTATAAATAAATAAACAAGAAATTTAAACAGAAACCTTCGTTGCTGTTTTCTAGCTTGAAGATTGTTTAAAACATTAAAAAAAACTGTGATAATTTAAAATAAGTAGATAATGTTGCGATTTTAAGAGGTAAGTAAAGGTTGATTGACGTCCATGATCGATTCTGACTGCTCAGGATGCGAGGTTGTGGCGTCTCCGTTCGCCAGCAACGCGTCGGTGGCACCCTCTCCGCATTGCGCCTCATCAATCTGTAATTAATCTTTTAGATATACTTCTACCACCCAAAACTTTGAAAGTAAACATCACACAACGACAAACTTTTCAAGAATGCAACTGTGCATTATTTAGAAGATATACCCCAACTCAGCACGGAAGTTTTTTTATTTATTTAATCTTCATTGTGATACACCTTAATCTAAGGGTCACAATGTGCGGGCCTAATGCTTTATGACATATCTGCCCTTCAACCCTGGACATAATATGTATTGTGAATAAATATAAGATATATTACGCATACGTACTAATTCATAACGAAAAGTAATAAAAATAAGGAAATTATTTGATATAAAAATAATTATATATAAACTCTTATTGCATGTACAGTATACAAAATAAATAAAAATAGAAATAGAAGAAGTTTAAATGGAGCTTTCCTCAAGAATATGTTATTTTGTGATGATTGGCAGCAGCAGCTTCCTGATAACAACTCATAATAATGAAAAGCTGCGCTCGCCAGCCTGCTTCCCAAGCGTGGCAACTACCGAAATTGTCACCCCTATAAGGCAATCGACGGCGGAGGCGTTCTGCAGACAAGATATAATGGGGATGCGAATTTTACCTAATTCCTAATGATAATGATTGATTGAAATAATGAAGGATTTAATTAATGAATTGAAATGAATATCTTATAAAATACGGGGTAAGAACACCTACGACCCCATGTCATCTCGTGGGTGTCGTAAGAGGCGACGGAAGGAAATTGAAGCAGGAGATGGGAAGTAGCATCTACCTGGTAACAACTAAGAGTTATAAAAAAAAATGCGGCTCCAACTATAGAAAAATCACCCTTATACGGAGGTTCCACGTTCAGTATTTCATCAGTTCAGTCCGTCAGTATGATCCAACTTTTACCGACGCCAGAATAGTCGGCGGTTACACGATACAGTCTAGCATTAGTATTGGACTGACGAAAATTATCTAAAACATTTAATTTTTATCAGTCCTGACCATCAGTCCGTCAATCCGTGGCTTAGACGATAATTGTGCGGTCATTCTGACCAGATTAACGGACTGAACTGATGAAATACTGAATGTGTAACCGCCGTATAAGAAATCTTCGGTGGGGTTCTACGTTCAGCAGTGGACTTTTATAGGCTGTAATGGATGGATGAATTTTATTTAACTTTCTTAACTCTCGTCACTGAAGATACTTTGGACAATTTGCAATGCTTTTGCCCAAGGTGCTTTTAATTCATTAGGTGGTAGGACTAGGACTAGTTTGAGTAGCTACCACCCTCTTATCTATTTCTGCTTAGCTTGCACTGCTGTGTTCCACTCTAAAAGTTATGGGGGAGCAAGTATAACTATATGCTATGCAGCATCCCATCTTAATCGTTAAGCGTACATTACGCGCTCATGCAGGCGTTAATCACTGCATTACACGGTAGGTTATTCGTCAGTCACAACCGTGATTGTTGTAAAACTGACAGCCTGCATGAGCGTGTAATGTACGCCTTAGAGATGACAGAGCATTCGTAGCCTTCTTCTATTGAAGGTATCCATGGACTATAGTAGCCACTTATCCGATGGACTATTAGTGCGTTTGTACTTTCAATTTTATAAAAAAAGAAGTAAGGAATGTATAGTGGAAGGAGTCCTGACTGAAACTGGCAGCCTGCATGAGCGTGTAATGTACGCCTTAGAGATGACAGAGCATTCGTAGCCTTCTTCTATTGAAGGTATCCATGGACTATAGTAGCCACTTATCCGATGGACTATTAGTGCGTTTGTACTTTCAATTTTATAAAAAAAAGAAGTAAGGAATGTATAGTGGAAGGAGTCCCGTAATGTTCACAGATGATTTGAAAATGTTTGCTTACGTTGTTTGAGTATAACAACGTTACAGCGTATTATTGCTGCAGCGCAAAAAAAAAGGAAAAACAACGCTCGCACATATTTCCAGGGTGAAATAGCAGCATAATGATGCTGTGTTTCATATGGTGATGGACAAGAACCGTGTGTCACCCCTACTTTTGTATACAAAATACTTTGCATGTATATTGAGTACGACTATGATTTTTTTTATTGAATAAGTGTGACAAACGAGCACATAATCCACCTGATGGTAAGTGGTTGCTATGGCCCATAGACATCCACATTTATACTCAACTAAATATCAAAATGCAGATGTATTGTCACCCCAGAGCACTAAGATGAAACACCCCGTTTCCAGTAAAAAGGGTCTCCCGTTTTCTAGGCTCACTAAATGAAACACAGCAGCATTAGAGCGTGATCCTTCCTCGGTCGAGCCAACCTTCATGCTACAACCATAATATAGATGCAGCGAAGCTCTACCATGTATAAATATTTTCAAGGATTCAAACAGATTCTTTGGCGCAATAAACAAGGTACCTGTTTATATATTATTATAACCAGTCAGCCATGTTGACGTTAATAACGATACCGATACTTAAATCACTATAGTTTTATGAATCATAAAATCAAATTTTAGGAATAAAAATTAAGCCCTTTTTAAGAAAATGTATGTAGCAATAATTGTCTATATTCATTCATTAACATTTAAAGTAAACACGTGATTAAGATTTACTTAAAACACGATTGGTTGGAATTAAAATTCGAATATAAATATTTGCGTTCGATGGCCTTGGGCAAAACAAGCATCTTCACGCATCACACAGGAGATTTCATATAAACAAATGTGACTATAGTGAATTATTGTAAAAAACATGTTTAAAGAAATAAACATAATGGGTGTTTTTATACTTTGGCAAATTATTACGAGTATATATAGATTCTCGTTTGAGTGATGTTATCAAATTATCCAAATGTATTTTAAAAAATCACTCGTCGATTCGCTCAACTTATAGACGACTTCGTAGTTTTAAATGCTCATATAAATAGTATATCTGAGCAAATCAACTGTCAAAATCTCGATAGATTTCATACCACATAAAATTATTTACTTTTGTATATCGCCACTGTTAAGTGGAAGAAAATCAAGATTTAGCGATCGTTTTTAGTCACAAAAATTGGGGTTAGTCCGTTATTGATCCGGAAGAGATGTGGTCTTAACAGGATGGTGCTACGCGCCATTAAGGGATCGTTATTATCGAATTTGGCGATAAAATAATTTCGAGAAACCTGTCGATTTGCCTTCAAGAACTTGCGATTTGACTCCTCTTGATTATATCCTGTGATCAGTTAAGTCGTTAGTTTAAACTGATACACTAGGAACTTATTAAAACGCCTTGGAAATCAACATTGTTCATGTTAATCGTGACGTTAGGAACAGCCGCGGTGGCCATACGCCCTAAAATATTTTTAATATGTAGTTAATGCCATATATATTGATCTTTCGACACAAAAAAGCAATTAAATTAAATTTTTATTTCTTGTGTAAATTAAAGTTACAGTCTATATACGAATCACTGCTGGGCACAGGCCTCTCAGTTCCTCTCATTTCTGTGAGGGTTTTAGGGCAAAGAAGTGTCCGCCACGCTGCCCCAATGCAGCTATTTTTGAACATTGGCGAACTTCACATGTCTCCGAAATTTTTTTCTTATTTCTCAGACATGCAGATTTCCTCACGATGTTTTCTTTCGCCGCCGAGAACGTGGTAAATTAGCACTTAAAATTGCAATTAACAATTTCATTGGTGCCGGCGGGGATCGAACACGGTTTGCTCGCGTACTGTGAAATTTACATCCAGCGCTAACCATCTGAGTTACCACGACTCTATTTCTTGTGAAGTCTTTTACAATTTCAATTACTGTTAGGCTTAAAAAACACTTATATGTTTAAAAAAAACTGGTATTTAAAGATACAAAATTCACAATATGATCCCTTCGTGTGTCCTATTAATTATTAGAGTAGAGTAAATACATAATATGTATTGCAGTGGTACTACATATCTTAGATGAACTACGTCTAATCTTTTGCTATTCACGGACTTTATTACTTATAACATGGATAAAGGAAACCAAATTGAGGCCATTTTCACGGACTACAGCAAAGCATTCGATCGCATAGAGCATAGACCATTCTATACTTCTGCAAAAATTATCTGCTGCTGGTATCATGGGCGATCGTTTAGATGGTTTACATCTTATATTTCTAACAGATCACAAGCGGTAATTTTAAACGGATTTACATCTTGGTGGACGACCCTGGACGAACGGATTTACCCTTCTGTCCCTTCTGGCGTTCCGCAAGGTTCACTACTTGGCCCTCTGCTCTTTGTCATATTTATCAATGATATTGCTGAATGCTTCCAGAACTCCGAGTTTTTGCTTTTCGCGGATGACATGAAAGTTTTTAGAGTAGTCAACAACTCTTATGATTCTAATCTCCTACAAAACGATCTTATTAACTTAGATAATTATTGTATCCGTAACAAATTAGACTTGAATGTTTCGAAGTGTAATACTATGTCTTTCGGGCGGAATCGTGATATGCTTTAGTTTTCTTACACACTTAAAGGTTTGACAGTTACTAGACGTGATAAAATAAGGGACCTTGGGGTTACTATTGATACTAAGCTTTTGTTTGATCAGCATGTGGATGATATTGTTAATAAAGCATATAAGGCTCTGGGTTTTATTTTAAGGTCTTGTTGCAAATTCAGTCAGTTAAAATCAATGAAAATATTGTTTTGTTCTCTTGTTCGTAGCCATCTCGAATATGCGTGTCAAGTATGGAATCCTCAATATAAAATATATATTAACAAAATCGAAGCGATTCAAAAAAAAGTTCATTCGATATGTAGGTTCTAAATTTCATATATCCAAAGGAGGCTACGAATTGCAGTGTTCTCACCTTCATCTCCTCCCGCTGCAAACTAGGCGCTATACAGCTGACCTGGTCTTACTAAGTAAAATTGCTCAAGATCGTTTAGACTGCCCTGACTTATTAAAAATATTACATATCTCAGTTCCCTCTCGTTCACTGCGTTATTACAATCCCTTACATGTTTCTTTATGTAGATCAAATTACAGGCAAAACTCATTCTTCTTAAGAGCATGTAACTCATTTAATATATTTTCTAAGGACTGTGATAAGGCTGACCTCTTTTCTACTAGTGGTACTACTATCTGCAAATTGATAACATCTGAATTCAGTAGCAATTTACTCTTGAACTCTTAAATCTAATCAACACCAATGTATAAATTATATCTACTTAAATATGTTGCATGTATTTACCCAAACCGATTACTCATCTGTGAAAACTTTTAATAGGCTTACTTTGTAAATTACATTATATACCATATAGTATTAATTAAAAGCTGTAAGTTTTCCTGTTATAAATAAATAAATAAATAAATATCTGGTGTTCTAATTAATAAACTATGTTGATCTTGTTTAAATAACGTAAAAAGAGAAACACAAAACAACTTTTAATTCACTAGGCTCTTTGTTAAGTAGGAGTCCTGAGTTAGTCTTATGATCAGTGACTTGAATGAAATCAAAAATTAAATCAAAATCAAATCTCGAATATATTTTAACTCGAAAATGGCTATACCGACTGTGATTTTTGTATGTGTGTTTTTGGTGTGGATCCTTGGATGCTTTAGATTTACAAATGGACTCCGTAGGTGGCGCTGTTGTCGAGATCCAGAAATCACCCGTGCGAAGCCGGGGCGGATGGCTAGTATATAGGTAATAAATAATAAAGCTCTATCTTCTAGTGTAGCCTATAACTATTTAAATTATTACACTTTCTTAATTATTTTTGCCGTCTTATTATTACAGACTATGCAAGGGTTTAGTCCATAACAATAACAATGTTAAATAAAACTATTCTTTAAAGGATTTTAACTTATTATAATTCCCGACATTTTATATAAAAACAGGTTATATTAACCGCGATAAAATCCGTAAAATTAGATTTATTTAATGTGTACTATTGTTATAAATATAAGAAATCATTATGGTAGCATCGTAATATATAGGTACCTATATGTTGGTTTATTTAATGTGTACTATTGTTATAAATATAAGAAATTATTATGGTAGCATCGTAATATATAGGTACCTATATGTTGTTTTATTTAATGTGTACTATTGTTATAAATATAAGAAATCATTATGGTAGCATCGTAATATATAGGTACCTATATGTTGGTTTATTTCACAATAGCAAGTAATAAGTACACATTGGTAATAAGGATGATCCTGGATAAATTTAAAGATAGAAGATTTTTATAATAGTAATACATAAAATGGCATATCCACATACTTTTTAAGGAAAATATTACCAATTAAGGCTATATAGATTAAGCAGATAAAGTGTAAGAAAAAACTAAAAGCGAATAACAAACGTGCTTACAATTTGACTTTTATTTTGTATTAATTGAATTTTATTTACTGTGCTTTTTATAGGAGAGGGCGCAAACGAGCATACGGCTCACCTGATACAAGTATTTTTAATGTCACAAGTAGTTTTCTTGATATATATGCAGATATTTCGCCACGATAAGGGCAGTCTGGCCAGACAGGGCGGCGTTTAGAAAATCGGCCTGTCCGGGTAGACTGTCCACTTCGCGTCGATTACAGCAAAATTTCTTGGCTTCTTATAAATCTTCTCACAGGTGTTATGTGACAAACTTTTCACATTGCATTATATAGTAAGTGACATTTTAGTAAATAATAACCTAACAATATTAATGAATAGGAGTGGATGGATGGATGAAAACGATGCGCAACAAGAACGAAAAGAAGGAGTGTCAATCGTACACAATAAATTGATAACTTTTACAGTAGGTGCTATTGAGTACATTACAAATCGTTACTTACATTTGATTTATTAGTATCGCCGACGAGCGGGTCACTTTTTCCTTGCAAGTAATAAGTCATGAGCTGACCCTTGCCTTTGACAGCCACCAAACCACGCTGCTCGAAGTAATAGCCAAAACACTGTAGGATATGGCAAGTTTCTTCAGTCACCTGTTAAAAATTTATTTTTAAGTATTTCCGAAATACTATATAAATTAAAAGTTGACAACCCTATATTTCTTATCGACAAACCTTTATATAATGTAATAACATGATTTAAATTTAAATAGTTATTTAAGTTTGATCGCAAGAATATATTTCATACAATCTAATATCTGGAGAAAAGGGGAATAAACCGTTATAAAACAAGACGCAGTTAGTTCAATCGAATTTGTGTAAATATATATGAAACATTGAAAATGAGTTTTGTTAAACATTTGTGTATCGTATTGCAGTGTAAAAATATCCGCTACCCCACATTAGTGTTGCCCAAATTCAAGAACAAGACGAGACTTAGCCAGTCTTAGTCTTGGACTTGCGCCAATACACCTGGTCTTGGTCTTGGTATTGTACTCCCAGTCTTGGCCTTGGTCTTGGTCTTGCAGCAAGAGTCTCGCAAGTCTCGTAATTACCTATTAGCCTATTGTTATTTATTAAACGTTACTTTAGATCTTAGAACAACTTAACAGATTAGGTACATTTTGAGCTTGAATTAACATAACCATAGTAAAGACCAACGAATTTAATAAATGTCTAAACATTTAGTGAGAAATTTGAAAAATCAACTGAAACCGGGTGGAGTTTGAACCTACGACCTAAGCAAACCGTGTTGATACTCTAATAAACTGTCTCTTAACCCACTTGTTACTACCGTCCTTTATAACGCCACTAATTGAATGATAAATGTACCCGCCAAATTTATATGTTCAATGTTGTATAAACAAAGATCGTCTTACATTACCGTCATTAGAAACGGTCCGTCTTTAATGTGCACCTACTATTTGTCACAGTGCGTTCATTATTTTGAAGTTAAGACGTGTTTTAAATTAACAGTGTGATTGCTTTGCGACATGGCTTCAAAAAGGTAAGTTTTTTAAATATACTTATAAAGTTTTAAACACTACAACGTAGAATCCCGTAAAGAACTGTTATTTTAATATAAATGATGTTACATTTATATTAAAATAAATAAACTTGAATTTCACGGTTTTTCATGAAAATTATCTTATGTAAAAACTTGTGGCGTTATAACGCCCGGTAGTAAAATTGACGTCTATTTATTATTACTATTATGTTTTAGATCACTGACGAAACGACCTTTGAATCTCAATGACATAGTTGATGCATTACACAATATATATTCTAATGACGATCTGCCCAGTAAATTACCATTTTTCCACTGGAAGATCCAAAAAACTAAATAACAGACGAAGATTCTGGTGATGAAGAATTTGTGACATTACAACATAATCTCCCAAGTTTGGTTATTTCTTTTGAGCATATTACGAAATTCATTTCAGTCACTGAACTCACAATCAATTGTATAATGTATTTATTACTTTTCAGGTTCCCAGCTCTTCTTCAGCTCCAGCAGAGATTATTTATGATGATACGTTTTCAGACAGTGACTATTCTGAAAATGATTTATCTTTGTCTGTGTTAGCAAAAAGAATACGCAATGCCAATGAATGCTTGCCAGAAGATTTGGATCAACAGACATCTTCTACTTCTTGATCCACTCCATCTATAAGCTGTTCATCGAGTAACGTCACTCTTAGTGTAAGCAAAACCCAACAGTATACTTGGCGCAACAGGCACAATCCAAGTGAATTTAACACAGTGGCAGGATCGTGAGGGCCCAAAAAATCTACAGTCACCTTTGTACTACTATGAGTGTATGGTGAATGATGAAGTAATCGAAATTTTGGTACATTACTCTAATCTTTACGCAAGCCAAAGGAATGTCATCGCTAATATAACTACTTCAGAAATGAAGTGTTTTTTGGGTATACTTTTATACAGCGGTTATGTCGTGGTACCACGCAGGTATATGTATTAGGAGAAATCTTCTGATACTCACTTTGATGTTGTTTATAATGCCATGTCTAGGGATCGTTTCACAATGATAATGAAACACTTACATTGCTGTGACAACAATGTCATTCGTACAGATAGGGATAAATTTGCGAAAGTTAGTCCTTTCTTTGATTTATCAAATAAAATTTTCTCAGACATGGCACCTTTTGAACAAAACTATAGTATTGACGAAGCTATGGTACCATACTACGGAGGCCATAGTTGCAAACAATTTATACGCGGGAAACCAATCCGATGGGGGTATAAACTGTGGGTAGGTGCAACTAGGTTGGGGTATGTTTTTTGGTTTGACTCATAGCAGGGACATTCTTCAAATATCGCAGCATGCTACAAACAATTCGGATAAGGGGCAAGTGTAATTTTGAGCTTTGCTGATATTTTACAATCGTGCTACCCAAACACTCAATTTCATTTATTTTTTGATAACTTTTTCTTCTATCCCTTTTTTTCATGAATTGAGTAATAGAGGGTTGAAAGCTACAGGAACTATTCGTGAGAATCGTACCTCTAGATGCCCACTACCTGAAAACAAGGTTTTCAAAAAATGGAAAGGGGCACATTCGTCTATAAGTCTAGTCAACCCAAGCAGATCTTAGTCTGCAAATGGCATGACAATAGTGTCGTAAGTGTCGCCTCTAATGCGGAAACAATTGAGCCGCTTCACAAAGCCAAGCGATTTTCTCAACAATTGAAAAGATATGTGTTTATTGATCAACCTGCTATCATGAAATCATACAACGAAAATATGGGTGGAGTCGATAGAATTGACCAAAATATTGGCTTATACAGAACTTCGATCCGAGGAAAAATGGTAATGGTATTTTTCGTTATTTTGTCATAGTTTGGATATGGCTACCCACAATGCCTGGCAATTGTACAAAAGTGATGGTGGCGAATACGACCACTTAACTTTTCGTAGAGTAGTTGCCAGAGGATTATTGGAGACGTATAAAAGAACCGAAAAACGGGGACCTTGCCGTACTCCCAGCAACTATAGTTAAACCTCGCGATACGATCGCAGTAAAAAAAAAACAATTTCATTTGTCGTAAATGTCAGCTGTATTTACACCTAAAAATATGTTTTATTTCCTATCATACCAAAGTTTAGATTCTTGGCAAATAAACCATTGTAAGCATATGTTTTGTGTTTAATTTAATTCCAAAAATGCTTTACTTTTAGTAGCCGATCTTACAACCGGGCGTTGTAACGCCAATCGTTTTCCGGACCACGAATATTTTTTTATATATTTTTCCATGAATACTACATCGTTTTGGTACAACATATTAAAAAATCAGTTAATTCTGAAACAAAAAGTTTCAGTAATATCTGGGTCATAAACGTTAAACCATATAAAAACAAATTAATGACATTAACTTGACTGTATTTTTAAGAACATTATCTGTCTGATCATGAAAGAGCTTGATAGACCCTCACCTTATATGAAATGGAATTAAAGAGTTATACAATTTATACAATTTACAATTTATTTAAATAAAAAATAAAATACAATACAAATTAAATTATAAAACAGTACACAATTGCTTTGACAATACTGTTACTTTATATGAATTCTTTTGACCAAGAATTAATACAAAGTAACCATCTGGCTGACCCATCACTTAACCTATTTCAAGGTTTTCTAATTACTAATGATGCTTTAGAAAATAATCTCTCAACAGGTACTGAAATTGCAGGTATTGAAAGAAAATCATGGGCCATCTTCGATAAAGTCGGATATTCTGTCTCATGCGTCCTCCACCACTCTAAAATGTATTCCGAGCTGGCGGCTCGGGATTTACTTAGGTACTCCTCCAGCTGGTCAATAACTAAGCCTTGAAGACAAGATCCACATCCAGATGATGTCGAGGGACATGCATACAGTTTCGCAAAATCTATTACGAATTCATGTACATCATATTCACTTGTTATTTTCTTTTCATTTGTTGGTGATTCTAGAGATTTATTCACTGAGTGTAGACTTTTATTTTCTTTATTTGCGCTTTAGGTTTTTGGAATATTTTTATAAAAGTGTATACCGCTACTCAAGAACGAATTGTATACTTTGTGTAACCAGAAAGAAGGTAATGTGATTTTATTTTTATTTCTACTATTAAAATAGTGCAAATCACTATTCTTCACATGTAGGTGAATTTTTTGTCGTACATACATGATATTTGCAAAAATATATTGTGATACAACAGTCAAGACATTAATTTCTTTAAACAGTTCTCTCAGAGATACCTTGGCTCCTAAGAAGTACATTTTTATAGAATAATGGTGATAAATGAGCACACAGTCCACCTCATGGTAAGTGGATGCTGTGGTCCATATACATCTACATTTATCCTCGATTGAGAATCAAAACGCAGATGCGTTGTCTCCCCTGAGGACGAAGAAGGAATGCCTAGTTTCTAGTAAAAAAGGGTATCTCACCATACAAAACACAGAAGTATTAAGCTGCTATTTTACGCTGGCATTATGTGAGAGCGTGGTCCTTCCCCGGTCGAGCCGACCCATTTGTCCTACAACCATAATATAGCTGCAGCATAGCTCTACCACGTATAAAATATCTTATCATATCATAAATCTTATTGCACATATTTATATTATTCGATTAGTATTGTAGAAAATTTTTACACGTTTCAAGTATGTTAAAAATGTCTACAATATTTATCAAATGGGTGATGACATATTCGAGCACTTTGTGTTTTATAAAAATACACTTCCAAAATCGAGATTTGCAGTGAACTTATTGAACATGTTTATCTGTTAGGTAATAATAATAATAGTAAGTAATATAAGTAGTTATTATAAACCCATATAGTTAATATTATAATAATTACTTATTAGAATAAATTACTACGAAATTTACCTATCCTTACCATTATCTAATTACAATATTTCTTGCAAGATCAGCATAATGTATTCGTGTCCATTCTGAGCACAACTTACTTTATTCTTTGGAACATGTACTCTGTGGCGGCAATAAAACAGTGTCAAACGTTGTGCGTGCGGTGCGGCGGTGATGATTGTATGCTATATCAATAGAAACCGTCTTAACCTTGTACTTTCGAATAGCTGCAAAAAATTTTTGACAGCTCAGTATCCGACCTTTAATGATGCCGACAACAAGACGCCGCGCACTATCAAAGTTCCACTGGTCAAAACTAGAGATTTATAAATAATATGTATAAACTTAACCACAACCTCGATGCCATTAGAGATTGGTCGGACAGACATGGTGTTTTGGTTAACCCAACCAAATGCAAAGCAATGGTTATAGGTAGTAGCAGAATGTTAGCTAAGATTAATAACGATAACCTTGCTCCCGTATTTTACAATGGCACGTTGTTGCCATTTTGTAAGTCTGTCAAAAATCTTGGCTTACATATAGACCATATCTTAAGCTGGGAAGTTCAAGTTGCCGAAACAAGCCGTAAAGTAACTGCCACCTTACGTTCTCTTTGTCGTCTTAAAAACTTTCTGCCTTTTAAAACTAAACTTCTGCTTATCCAGACTTTGATATTACCCATTATTGATTATGCGGATGTGTGTTACCCAAATCTATCTCAATATCTTCTCGATAAGTTGGAACGCCTTCTCAACAATTGCATTAGATTCATTTTCGGCTTACGTAAATATGACCATATTTCCCAGTACCGATCTAAGCTTAAATGGCTATCTATTCGTCAAAGGCGTAGCTCCCGAACTTTGCAAGTACTACATTCAATTTTAAACGACCCCAATTCTCCCTCTTATCTTAATATATAACTTTCAATATTTGTATTCTACTAACGATAGAGTTCCCCGTTCCCAAAATTGTCTTAAAATTTGTATTCCACCACATAGGAGTGGTTTCTATAATTCCTCTTTTACTGTACAGTCTATACTGCTCTGGAATGCCTTGCATGTTGATATCAAGAAAACAAATAACAAGAATTATTTTAAAAGACTAGTTCGAGAATTCTGTTGTAAGAATAATACCACCTGACTATCCGACTATTGTTTTTGTGTTTTTTTTTCTCTTTCACTTTATAAGTAATATTTTGTATAATGTATTTTAATATGTATTGTGTTATTTTATTTTTGTCTCATACTATTTTATTTACTTATAGTTTTGTATAGAAGTACCCGTTTATATATTTATTATTTATCCTATATTATATATTAAGTAATTATGTATATTTTCCTAGAGTCCCTAAGCGTATATCCGAACTCCTATACTCCTTGAAACGACACTCAGTCCTAACTGCAAAACGAACGAGTCTCTCAGGCTTAGTCTTGTTCTTGCTGAAATCTTACCCTGTCGGTCTTGATCTTGGTCTTACTAAAATTAGGCGGTGTTGTTCTTGATCTTGATTTTGTAAAACCGCAAGAGCAAGACCAAGACTGCAAGACCAAGACCGATTTTGGGCAACACTCCCCCATATGATCCCGTGGGTATCGTCAAAGATGATAGAGGTAAACAAATCAGGAGATGGACAGCACCTTCTTCCTAATAAGACTAAAAATAAAAAACTGAGGTTACCAATCCGTTTGTCAAACGTAGCATCTATGGTAAATACCAACCCGTTTATCAAACGTAGCATCTATGGTAAATACCAACCCGTTTGTCAAACGTAGCATCTATGGTAAATACCAACCCGTTTGTCAAACGTAGCATCTATGGTAAATACCAACCCGTTTGTCAAACGTAGCATCTATGGTAAATACCAACCCGTTTGTCAAACGTAGCATCTATGGTAAATACCAACCCCGTTTGTCAAACGTAGCATCTAGGTAAATACCAATCCGTTTGTCAAACGTAGCATCTATGGTAAATACCAACCCGTTTGTCAAACGTAGCATCTATGGTAAATACCAACCCGTTTGTCAAACGTAGCATCTATGGTAAATACCAACCCGTTTGTCAAACGTAGCATCTATGGTAAATACCAACCCGTTTTTCAAACGTAGCATCTATGGTAAATACCAACCCGTTTGTCAAACGTAACATCTATGGTAAATACCAACTCGTTTGTCAAACGTAGCATCTATAGTAAATACCAACCCGTTTGTCAAACGTAGCATCTATGGTAAATACCAACCCGTTTGTCAAACGTAGCATCTATGATAAATACCAACCCGTTTGTCAAACGTAGCATCTATGGTAAATACCAACCCGTTTGTCAAACGTAACATCTATGGTAAATACCAACCCGGTTGTCAAACGTAGCATCTATGGTAAATACCCCCCTATGAGCAATCCATTGGTAGGCCCATATTCAGCAGTGGACTTTAATAGGCTGTAACGTAGTGTGCTGACGGCGAAAAGAATCCAAAGCAGCGTTTCGTCCCGTTGTTATCTTAAATGACCATATGCCACCACGGCGACGGGGAGCTATCACATATATAACTGTAATCCTCAATAGCATGGAGGCCCATGCCCAGCAGTGGAACGATAAGGGCTTGTAAAGAAGAAGATTTATAAATAAAAAATTAAAAGTGTACAAACTATATAAAATAGGCAGAAAACACAATCATTATTTTACATTTTATGTTTTAGAATAAACGTAAATGTATAATATTAACCTGTATGCATCCAGCTTTGCCAGTGCTTTCCATACGAGAAGCAACATTAACAGTGTTTCCCCAGATGTCGTAGTGCGGCTTGCGTGCGCCTATTACTCCGGCGGTGATAGGTCCGTGGTTAACACCGAGGCGTAGTACAAAATGGTTAAATGACTGTTCGTTGATGGCTGCTAGAACTTTTTGCAATTCCAGAGCAAACTCCACTAGACAGGCGAGATGTGCCCAGCGCACAAGGACGCCGTCGGACGGCTAAAAAGTTTAAGAAAAAAAATTAAAACTAAACAATATATTTATTATATATATAATATATATAATAAATATATTGTTACATAATTATAACGTCATGTTTTATAATAATAAAAAGTTTACCTAACAAAGTATATAGACTGAAGGAAAATTGTGACAATTTTGTTATTTTCATTCATTTAAAAATATAGGTCTAGAGTGAGCAACATTAGAATAAAAAATCTACAATAATTATGTACAACGATTGCTTCAAATCCTCACTGCTTTTTGTAAACATTAATCTTACAGAAAACCGCGCTATAAGATTAATGTGAATGAATTATTGCAATACATTAAAAGAGATATGTGAGCGGAAAGTAAAATTCGATCAGTGTGGCCGTGAAATATCGATTGTAACCATGTGACTTAACTTTCACGGTCATATTTAAACTCTTCAGCCAGAAGATCAAGTTCATATCAGAGCTAACATTTGCGCAAAAGAACAAGTCATTGTCTTCCAGCCTCCTGTGCATTGACTCTATCGGAATTTATTCGGGTTGATTTCATTTTGACATCTGACGCAGGTTGTTATGGATTTCGGCGCATCGTGAAAAATGGAAATGTGTTATTATACATTTAGAGCCGATGTCAATGTAAAATAAATGAGGTAGTGGTACCTTGTCTCTAGACTAGTACATAGGTAATATACAACAGTATTTCTCAAAGTCCAATATCTTGGTATTGAAATGTGAACACAACGCGTGTAAATTATTTTTAACTCCTTGGTAGCAGTTCCGAAATGAATAGAATAGAATTATTTTTATTCAATAATAGCTTTTTACCTGCGGCTTCGCTCGCGTGGGTTTAAATATACAAACATAAATAATACTATTTCGTACTAAAATTAGCAAAACTGGATCACTTATAGAGACAACTCGGAATCTGCGTTTACATTGAAATTTGGCAATATAATACGCTACAGAAATACATAGTAAGTTTATCAGAATTGCATTAATATCATAAGACTAGCAACACCTTTTTTATCAGGCACGTCTTCCGCAGTGTGTTTATGAAGGGACAATTGCCCTGGAATCAGAAATGTGTTATTTAATGATTTCTTATATTTACGCGAACACTACACATTGATTAAAGCCACTTTTACGGATTTTATCGCGTTTAATTGAAATGATTTTTAATTCCCGACATTTCGGGTGCTTTCCAGCACCCATGGTCACAGGGAACTCATCATCGTGGGACTACTCTGGAGGCGTGGAGCAGAAGTGCGGTAGTTCAAGAAAAACAACAACGCTCTTGAAGAACTACAGACCAATTTGCCTTTTGAGCTGCGCTACGTGCTGTTTTCGAGAGTCATTACGAATCGTCTCCCACGCAGACAATATAACTTCCAGCCTCCCGAACAAGCCGGTTTCCGAAAAAGCTTTCACATAGATACCTTTCGGTAAATTGTACCGAAGATCGAAGAGTACAATATGCCTCTTTGCCTGAAGTATATGGACTATGAGAAGGCCTTGATGCCGTTGAAGTTCGTGCGGTGCTATAGTCCCTACAGTGGTGCCAAGTGGACTGCCGGTATATTGAAGTGCTGAAGTGTTTGTACAGTAGGACTACGATGGCTGTCCGAGTACAGAACCTGAGTACGAAACCTATTCAACTTGCAGTGAGGTGTAAGACAGGGTGGCGTTATATCCCCGAAACTCTTCACCGCTGCATTGGAAGAGGTTTTAAAGCTTATGAACCGGAAAGGAAACGGTATTAGCATCAATAGCGAGTACATCACTCACCTTCGATTTGCCGACGATATAATCCTCATGGCAGGATCGCTGGAGGACCTAAGCTCTATGCGCAAAGTGTAACATTAATAGTGCCTTCCAATGGCCTATCCATTCTTAAGATGAACATGGACAAAACAAAGATCATGTGTAACGTTCATGTCACACCTATGTACGTAATTATTGGGAGCACTCACAAAGTTCAAAGTTATAGACGAGTATGTTTACCTGGGATTCAACTCGACTGAGCAGCGTTCGGGAAATCACGACACATCATCTCGTTAGCTATATCTCGATACCTGAAAACGAGACTGTGCACCCAGTGCGTGTTTCCATTGAAGATTTATGGAACTCAGACGTGGTCCTTCACTACGGGCCGTATGAGAACGCTCAAGGTGGCTCAGCGAGCTGTGGAGAGGGCTATGCTCAGTGTTTCTCTGCGTGATAAACTTAGAAATTACGATATCCACAGTAGAACCAGAGCGACCGACATAGCCCAATGGATGAATGAATATACTTTATTGTACACCATAAATGGACTACTAAGCTGAGGCGACAATCGGCTGGCGATATAGCTCGAAGAACTGACAACCGATGGGGAAAAAGGTTTTTAGGTGGCAACCTCGTACAGGTAGGCGAAGTGTAGGGCAAACCCCTACTAGAAGGAGTGACGACCTGGTAAGACGTGCAGGAAGTCGATGGATGCAGGTGGCTCAGGACCGTAATTTGGGGCATTCCTTTGGGGAGGCCTATGTTCAGCAATGAACTTGTGAAAGGCTGTAATGATGACGGTGATGATGATTTTATATGATTGATGATATAAAATAGAAATTAACATCTAAATGAAGTAAAATACTTAAACTTCCTTTTTTGAAGTTCCGTAAACAGATAAAAAGTAGCCCATAAGTTGCCCCGATTCTCTAACTACCTACGTACAAAATTTCATGGAAATCTATTTTGTAGTGTTTAGTTTAGATTTTGCGTGAATCACGAATGCACAGACAGACAAAAATTCTAAAAACCAGCAATTCTTCAGTGCCATTTATTTAGTTCCCCGGATTTGTTTTTTCCAGAAAATATTAGATCTACAAATACAAATTTTTTACAAAATTATTATATGTATAGATAGGTTCCAAGAATACTTATTGAAAGTCGTTTAAAATTTACCACTAATTCAAAAAAACTCTGTTTTGGGAAGAACCAGCGAGAAATCCAGCGAAACTTTTTTAAACTTTAGTTTACAATATAATATTTTACACAACTAATTATGAAAACATTTAGAAACAGTGTGGTAGCGAAAACTTTATTCCCGGGGGTTATTATCAATCATGTATTCTTTAGTAGTACGAGTATAATAACCCTTATTAAACAATAATTGCTTAATAAAAATTTTAAAATTTTTGATAGATACGTCCTTCGTATTCTCTCAAATAACATTTATGGAATAGAATAGAATATTTTTTTATTGAATGTGTAATTCTTATTGAAAGTCATTTTTTACTTTACCACTAGTTTGACAAAAACCTCTGTCCCGGGAAGAACCAGCAAGAAACCCAGCGGGACTTTTTATGTAAATATAAAATATTTACAAAATTTATTTTAGAAACAGCTTGGAAGCAATCATCTTATTTTCAGGGATTATTCATTTACCTATTTTATCAACCATTTATACTATAATAATCCTTTTTATACAGTTTTTGCTTAATTAATTATTTAAACTTGGTAATATATATATATATAATATATATATATATATATATATATATATATAATATGTAACGTAATTAACGCACACCATCAGACACCCCAATTAGTATATTATGTTATAATCATAATACATACACTGAATTTTTAGTTAAACATTTTTATTCACTGATTATTTATCAAATTAGTTATACTAAATCCGGAAGAAAGTTGTGGTCACAGTACAAATCCACGAACGCAAAGAATTTAACGTGCTTGAAATAAAGTTCATTTTTCTTTATTTTTATTGAATGACAGAATTAGTAACAATACAAATAAAACTGCACTCTTAAAAGTCTTATTGCCTTAAGTTACGGTCCATTTTAGTTTGTTTTGACTGTACAGATTTAGTGTGACTGTAATTTACGCAGTTCCAATTATTTTTGGGATACAAATTACCTGTATTAAAAATGATAGGAATCGATTCAGTAAGCGATTCTGAACAAACTACTTTCTCAAAGTCCGTTAATTATGTTATGTGTTGTATATATATTCTGGGAATTTGTTGTAATAGCAAAACAATGTATACATTGTTCCAAGAACAAATTACTGACTCTGCGGAGTCGAGATACTGATATCACTAGCTTGTGTTTGTTCCTAGTGCTTACAGAATATTTTTTTTAGTAAAACTATCTAATCTAAGTTTCGTAAATAAATTGAGAGGCCAAAGTTAATATATTTATTTCTTTAAATTTATCTCTAAGAGACTCTCTCTGTTTTAGGTTGAAAATAGCTCTTATGGCCCTTTTCTGCAAAACAAAAATAGTTTCCGATCCCATATGACATTATGCTATAGAAATAACCGAAATAAACTAATCTAGCTGTCTTGATACTAGTGAGATCTCTAATATTTTTATAGCATAAGCTAAAAGACATAATATCAGGTCCCCAATGAAGCCTAGCGTTAAGAATGATACCAATAAAACAGAGGATTCAACAGGGCTCAGTTCTTCCCCATTTAAATATACATTGGTATTCATATACTTAACATTCGTTGTTTTAAATTTAATACATTTAGTTTTATTGCCGTTTAAATGTAGATTATTAAAGTTAAATCGATGCAGTAATTTTGATACATCATTATTCACTTCGTCACATTTAAATGATGGGCGTTTAAGTTTAAACATCAAGGAAGTATTATCAGCAAATAACACTGTATTAAGTATATAATAATACTATAGTATGTCATTAATATACACTAAAATAGGAATAGGCAAAGAATTGAGCCCTGGGGGCCATTGAGCCATGCATAAGACCGGTGTTTCCAGTCGGTGAGTCGAGCATAGATCTCAATCTGTAAGAGAGCAAGCTCAAACCGTTCTGGACGTTAATCCTATACAAACTAGCCTTTCCCTCCTTTTCTAGATAAAGACCAAGGGGCGTTAGGCATAGAAGTATACTTCCCTTTTGTACGGGTCATCCGGAAGAACTTTTACATTATATAATAACTTTCTGCATTCTATTACTTAAATATGAAATAACTAGTTTAAGCACCGTGTTCTTGAAACATAGTAAAGGTAACATAGAAAGGTCACAAAATATATCCAAAGAATCCTCAGAATTTTCCTATGCACAATAAATATGTTTTATAAGCTCAACTCCCACGTGACCCCTCGTAAAGCAATTTATTTATATATAAAAAACTTAACATCAGATGTAAAACATTTTTTTCAAAAATTTTACTTTAAGTTGGTAGTACAGAAATTGGTTTAAAATTAGCGGGGTCTAATATACTACCTACCAGATTTTAATAAAAGTGTAGCTTTTCTGTTTCATTAAATCAGGAAACATGCCAGATTCGACACTTATATTAAAAATAGTGACTAGATACGATGCTTTTGTATCTATTATAGATGCAATAAATTTAATGGAAATCCCCCATAAGTTTGTCGTTTTATTAACATCTATAGTTTTGAAATATTTAACGATATCTTTTGGCAATACTCTATGGAATTTAAAAGTATTTGAACATGCCTTTACATTTTGTTTAAGCAAATGATTTTGTTGCCAAAAAGGAACATCAGTAAAATGTTTCTCAAAAGTCATAGCAACTTCTTAGTCAGATTGAGTTAAATTATTGTTAATATTCAGTTGAAAAGTCGAGTTGCGTGGTTTGACCTTGCCCGTTTCACTATTAATAATTATACTCCACTTCATTTTAATTTTATTGGATGCAGTTTTAATTTTGGACGCCTCAAGTTCTTGGAGCGCAAGTTGGAGTTGGTTCTCTAACTGGCACCTCTTGGCGTTGCAAGTATTCATTTTACTATTTATTGTAAATAATAAATGAAAACAACGATCGAAAACAGAAGGAGCAGAGTAAGCTAATGTCGAGAAGTCGTTTTTTTAACTATTTACAGCCCTCAAATCAAGTTATCGTGAGTATAATTCAAAAAAAGAAACCTGCAAAGAATATAATAATCCGAGAAATATGTAAATAGATCTTTAACTAATAAAAGGAATGATATGAAATAAGATTTTAATGATTTTAAACAATTATCATTACCTGTCACTTTTTGTTGCAACACAAAAACATTGTTCTAACATTGATGTACCGACTTTATGAAACATTTAATACAAAGCAGCAGTAATAATTAACTATAACACAAAATTACGGTGGATATTATGAATTTACATTATTTAAATTTTTAAAATTTTTCAAGACCAATTACTTTTACAACTTATCATCAAATTTGCCACAAAAAAAACCGACGGAAGGAAATATGCTATCAGGATAAAAACTCTTCTAAAACAACAAATTTCATATGTCATAGTCAAATGTTATAACAAATTTTAGCACGGTCGGCTAACTTTGAGAGTTGAAGTAGAAGTGAAGGCACTTTGACGGCTATTACGAAAGGAAACGTGTTTTCAATAGGAATTTTTATTGAAGGGAATGGGCAAATTACATTTGAAGAGATCAGTACATATTGCAAATTGAAAAGCGTTTAAGTTACGCAAACACTTTCGCGTTGACTTAGGTAACTCAGGGAGAAATTTTTGAGTAGGAGCAATAATTCTGCCACAGGTTTCTGTGATGACGCACTGACTTAACTCATTGCACCATAAAGTATTTTGTATGATCATCCAAACTCGAGATGCTTCTGATTACAACTCTCGTCTATTAACAAGTCACTTTTTTCTCGCAAATTATTAACAAAACGAATCCAGGTACTGGTGAATATTTGCTTTGAAATGACAAAAGCCTCACTTGAACCCCACGAGCAGTTACTTCTCACATTGTCAGCTCTCCATGTCGCTGTATTTCGTTAGCAACGCTATTGATGTATTTATTTTAGTTCCACAAAAAAAAACCTCCATAACTTTTTAAGAATTATTTACAACAGCGTACTATGTTTTTTTCAGGTTTCCATAGGTAGGTACTTAAAAAGTTCATCGGTATTTTTGGCCATTGGATCGATTATTTTAAATTATTATTAATTGACCATATTCTTCCATTGATAATTGACTAAAAATATGGCGTAGATGCAATATCTACTAGCTCATGTCATCCTGCGGGTTGGGGCTGTAATGGTAACGGTAACGTTATGGCATAGTTAAGAACATATTTGTTGGCTTTTATTCATGGTGAATGAATTTCAGATTTTAAGATTATATCTACGAGTAATTAAATGTGGACATAATTTTGAATAACTTGATTTCAAGTTTCAAAATACACATTTTTCTAAATTTAAATCACTTACATATAATTTCTGATTTATGTACCCGAGAAAGTCTTAATAAATATAGTTACCTAAATTTAACCTAAAAGCTCAAAATCTAAATAGTACCTAAGGTAATAATACTTTATAAAAAACAATAAAGGAAAGAAAGCCTTAAAGCATCATCATGTCGAATAAGTGCCTTAAATAAGTGGGTTCATAAAACCAATGTCGATGAATTAAGTTACCAGATTCTTACTGTCTAAAAACAGACCAGTTTTTTGAAATATTCTTATGCTATTATACAAAAAGAAGTTATAACAATTTCTGTACCTGCATCTGTCGCGTAGGATTTAACCCTGACGCTGCCATGTAGGTGGAACTTATAGTTTTGATCTTTATTATGTCCTTACTAAACTTGGGGTCTTCCAGTAACTAAAATCATTAAAAAATCATTTGACATAGAAATCTTTGAAAGTGATTTTGTAGTTTAATACTTCAAAATACACACCAGGTCGAAGTCTGAAATAACTTCATTTAAAAACCGCAGGCATTCTAGCCCTTGATTGTTGACAGTTTCTTCAGAATAGAACTCTGTAAGATAAAATATAAATTATTAATACAAATTTGATACCATTTTATAATATAAAATAAAGACACCTTTTTATTGCAATAAATATCAAAACTTTACAAACAATAGGACGATTTCATTTTGTAATATATAGCTATAAAGTAAACCTTTTTGTGGATTCAGAATAGTCGTCGTATAATTATTAATTTGTTCCACAAATTAAGAGGGTAGACGGTCTGCGTGGGAATTCAAAAATAGTTATTTGATCTTTGATCAACAATATACGATCAATAGTATTTGATGAAACTATTGTCGTCCCTCACCTCTGGTTTCCACCCGAAGAGTGCGATAGGGACAACTGCAGCTCAAAACGATTTTACCTACAAAAACCATGATCGATCGTCGTTTCGTATTCCCCTGTTTTCTCCTCGAAAACTAAGCCAATTAAATTATTTTTGGTATCAAAATTTAAAAGAAGAACACATCTATGCTTCTATCATTTGCTTTTATCTTAAAAACTTTTCAAAATTCTTTGGGAGTCGTCTGATTACGGAGGTAAAAACGGGGCATTTTCTTAGGTTTTTGTAAAGTCATATTTATTTTTGTAATAATTTTTTGAAAAAAAGTAAATGACAGGGGCATACCTTCAATAGATCTAGATTTTATAAACAAAAACTATTACTCTAGAGGCATTATCCAGGAAGAAAATAGGAGAATACATTTGTATGGAAAAAATGCAGCCCGTCTACCCTCTTAAATAAT